CAGTTAATCTGAGATGAATGAATTGCCCCATTTTCATCTAGTCTCATAGAGGAGCCATCACTTGTCTTTGTTGCTCTTCCCTACACTTTAAGATTTACTGTGTCTTAGAGATGGGGAACTTAGATTGCACACAGAATTGGTGATGCAGACTGTGAAAGAGGCGTACATGGCAGGAAGAGCAGTGATTAACAATCAGAAAAAAAGCCAGTCTTCTTGTGAAAGCTGAGGAAGGCTTGTTTGTAAAACCGGATCCACTTATTATTTCTGCTCTAAACACTTTTGACAGTCCTGGTTGTATCACTTAGAGTAAACTTTTCACCAGCAATCACTATTTTCACATGAAAACTGAAGCCAGATTTCATCGGTGTTGAATTCTAACAATTACCTTCTGGCTGGGCTTTCTACATGGAGAAGGCTATAAACACTGCTCAAAAGAATTAGTTCCCAGATGTCTCAAGAGATGGCTTTTGCTGACAATTTTTGGCACTGATCTTTGTACATTCATGCTAAGGAGAACGTGGCTTAAGAATGCCCATTTGGAAATTAACAATTCTTCTTTCACGGAATACTCTGAACAAAGTACCCCAAATATGGCATAGGGCCACATCAAATGGGTGTAACACAAAGAAATAATAACCACTCATTCATGGAATGCAGCTGAGGGCCTGTACAAAACTTAATAAGGGGTCTCTGTGAGGCTGTATCACAATGCCCTGACTCAGAACTTTAAGGGAACCCTTAATTCCCAATCTGTCAGAGCCGGTCTTGGCAATTCATATCCTCTTCAGATGTGAAGATTATATAGGTTAAATATTAACAAATGAACACTGGGAGGAAACCCTTTTGGGAATGCAGACTAATAATACTCTTCACAGTATTCTTCTTTGTTCCTTTTCCTGGCTGAGGGCATTCAGTAATTATGACAGAGTTGTGTGTTTGTAATTCCCTTGATATCCAGAACCCCAAACCTGAACTCCCAATTAGTGCAGCTGAACCAGAGGAGCACAGCTCCTGCCAGCTGGGAATCACACTTGTGCTGGGAAAAACACCTAGCTGCATTTGTTTAAAACCTGCCTTAAACTTCTAGTTTAAGTAAAATGCCAGAACACAGACACCGGGTACACATGGCCATTTTTAAAAACAAGAGCTTAAATGCTATCCACATTGGGTAAAACCCTGGCCCTAACAACAGGATCCTCCATGCACCAAGATTTCACATCTGCTTTTTACTGGTGTTTGCACATACATGTTTACCTCTCTGCCTATCTTTCTCTCCTGCCAGGGGTTCTGCACATTAAACTTCTTATTTTTTCTTTTAGTGGGAAGTTTTTTTTTTGAGTAGTGTGCTCACATCTCTTTCACTTAGATGATTCTTCCGACCATGTAAAGAATAATAGTTTGATTTGAGACACCACGAGCAAGTTTTTCAGCTATTTTTTTCTAATTTGAAATCAGAAATCAGGCTGTGGTAAGTAGAGGTACAGGATTTATTCAAGCCATAACAGAAAGGATGAGCTTTTCAAGGCCCTCAGGACTTTTTCTAAAATGTCAGGTTCTGATCCATGCCATGGCTTGCTTAGGAGACAGATGCCACAACTCCAACAGCGGTGCACAAACACAAAGGAAATTAAAGAATCTAGGAAAGTGCCAATTAAAATACCCAAACAAGTATCCAACGTCAAGGAAAATACATACTAATTTACATTACACTACACTGATAAGCATTTATTGAAGGCTAATTTCTCTTATCAGCATATCACAGAGTAAAAAGGCAGTGTTAAAAATGGTGACAACCTTTATGTCTAAGTCCCTACTTCTCTTGCAGAGCACCCTCTCAAACTTAATGAAAATGTAACTATAAAACATTCACTGCAATAAAAGTCTCTGGAGATAGAGCCTAAGTAGAATGATTAGTATGGAAAATGCTTCATAAATCCTAACTCCAGTAATCTCTGGTAGCATAAAGGCTTCATCTCATTATGACTTTCTAACAGAGCCTTGTTAATTCTCAATTCGCTAATCTGTGACCTTGAAAATTCCCTCCCTACATTGCAGTGAGACATTGCCAGCAGAGTGAAAAACAGCGAGGCACTGGAGCACTGGCTACAGGTGACAGAATATATTACAAAATATTCACTAGCTTTCTATAAAGTCCTGTGCCTGGCTAAATCAAATGAAATAACAACTCTTTCACAAATTATCATCCTGCATTTTCATTTTGCCACGTTAAATCAAATATCATAATCTATCATATAATTTGCAGCACAAAATCTTTCAGAAGGCAAGTTAACTGCAAGAATGAAAGGGATTCTGCATTATGTGTATTTCTCCTGACAGCTCTTTGATATCAATTATATGGTTTTGGAACTAAGTCCTCCTGGCTGTAAGCTTTTCAGACTCTCTTAACAATAAACACCTTCAAGTGCACATAGATAGATAAATATACACACAGGTTAGTACAGGCTTACAGCTGTACAAATCCTGGTATCACTCACAGAATCACAGAATGGCCAGGGTTGGAAGGGACCTCAAGGATCATGAATCTCCAACACCCCTGCACATGCAGGGCCACCAACCTCCCCCTTTAACCAGACCAGGCTGCCAGGGCCCCATCCAGTCTGGCCTTGAACACCTCCAGGGACGGGGCATCCACAACCTCTCTGGGCAGCCTGTGCCAGCACCTCACCGCTCTCTCTGTAAAGAATTTTCCCCTGACATCCAACCTAAATCTTCCCTCCTGCAACTTAAAACCATTTCCCCTTGTCCTGCTGTTATCAACCCTTTCAAAGTTGATTCCCCTTCTGTTTCTAGGCTCCCTTTAGGTATTGAAAGGCTGCAATGAGGTCACCCCACAAACTTCTTTTCTCCAGCCTGAACGAGCCCAGCTCCCTCAGCCTGTCTTCGCTGGGGAGGTGCTCCAGTCCTCTGATCATCTTTGTGGCTCTCCTCTGGATCCTCTCCAACAGCTCCCTGTCTTTCTTGTACTGGGGGCTCCAGACCTGGATGCAGTGCTCCAGATGGGACCTCACAAGAGCAGAGTAGAGGGGGACAATCACCTCCCTGTCCCTGCTGGCCACCCCTCTTCTGATGGAGCCCAGGATACCATTTGCTTTCCGAGCCGCAAGGTCACAACTGCTGGCTCATGTTGTTTTTCATCCATCAGGACCCGCAGGTCCTTCTCTGCAGGGCTGCTCTCAAGGACCGCTCCTTCCAGCCTGTATGGATGCCTGGGATTCCTCCGGCCCATGTGCAAAACCACTCATGACTCCATAGTTTACTGAAGACTTGCACAAAAGTTTACAAGGTAGTTTGAATGCAAAGGCAAAAGGCCAGAACAAACAAAATTACAACCAATTGTATTTAGGCTTGTGAGTCAGCTTTGTCTCTACTATGCTTAAGTGCATCTTGAAAAGGAAAAAAAAAAACACATTAAAAACTCCTCTAGATGTAAATTTGTCTTAAAAAACAATCTTCGCTTTTTCCAACACGTCATTTAGTATCAAAAGGGTCATATTTAGCCATTAAAATCTGAGCTGTTATTCAGTTCACTGCCACAGTTGTAAGATGAATGGAATAAACACATTTGTTCGCCATTATGCAACAACTACTGGCATCAAAGTTTTAATAATCCTATCCTGTATTACCAACTGTGAAACGCAGTAAAATTTTCATCCAAAATGGATCAGTGAAGATGACATCACATTCCACACTCAATTCTCATTTGTTATTAATTTTACATCATCTCTGGTGATATTACTGTTGTATTATGACAAAACAGAGTTCTATTTTCTTAGTACACCCTTCCAAAAGGACCCAGATACAACACATTTCAAGAAGTACTTGTTTATACTTCTCTCTACGTTGTTTGTTTACTCATGAGAATATCCACAAATGAGGAACATTGTACCTGAGAGATCTTACACGAAGGAGGGAAGAGCAGAGCACAGCACAGGGACTAGAGGGGACCAAGTAGCTTAGAGCTGTGGAAAGTTCTTGGTGAAGCTGGAAGCAGTGGTTTGTCCTTTAAAATGTTATGTTACAGTGCATTGGCATTCTGTACACCACTCTCAGAGAAAATACTCCAAATACCACTGGCTGTTTTTATCCATCTTGCCTTCACTCCCATGTGAAGTGCAGCCCATTACCTTGCCTTCATTTTCAGGAGCAGGTCTCTGTCAACAGCATGTCCATGGGGAAGGAGGGAAAGGGCAGAAAGCTAAGTACTTAGTTAAAATTTCAAATGTTTATGTATTTGAGAGTGCGGATGGCACACCTGTGCTGTACTGGAAGCAAGGGCTCTAGGTGCAGATGCACTGAAGTTGTCCAGTGATTGAGATGAAGAACCGTTCACCATATAACTGCACCCTGGCATAGGGAACTCGCTGTGTGTTATAAAATGAAGGAAACAAAAATGTGTTATTTTTTTCCTCGGTATGACAGAACTGAACTCTGCAGCATGGCATTTTTTAGCTCCTGCTTATCCCAAGCACTGACAGAATATCTAGAAAATGTGTGAAGTTGAAAAGTTTGGTATACATTTCTTATTCCCATTGCTTTCGTATTAAAGTATGTGCAATTTTCTATGAAAGAGTGTTCTTGCAAGTTCTCTCCCTCCTCATACAACAGATCTATCCAGTTCTGTGGGGCAGAAATGCAAAGCCCACCATAGTTATTCCTACTGTAATTTCTCACTGTACTAGTTAGATACATTCATCAATAAGAAAAAAAAAACAAACATTTCTGGAGAACCAATCACCTTGTTACTGTCATCTTAGTTACAAACCTTTGAAAGTCATAAAATTCTCAATATATTTTAGTTGTTTTACTTCTCAGCCCATTTAAAAACATATAAACCAACATTTCATTCTCTTACATGCTTTTCTAATGATGTTATGCAGCCTGATAAAGCTCTAAGATATTCTAAAAGGAAAAGAAATGTAAAGAAAAAGCAACTAAGCCTTATTTTAAACATTAGAAGAAAGACTAGAAAATGAACATACCAACAGCCATCATGTAATCCCAACGGTCCATGAGGCACATATTGAAGATCAGGTGGTCAGATGTTTGCCCTTGGCCAATTAGAGGAATGTTTCTCTCCAAATTTTGGGTTATTGCAGAAGTCCAGCCAACAAGAAACCAAAACACTACCAGGAGAATTACAGCCAGCATCCTCATCACTCGCCCACCTGTCATATATGGAATACGCTGAGCAGTTCTGGACAGGAATACCTTCAAAACCCTAAAAAATTCAGACAGGGTAGAATTAAAAAGAGCAGTAACCATGTTGTAGGAATTACATTTTCACTTTATTTCACTGTTAGGCTATTTAAAAAAAAAATTAAAAATCAACATTCCTTCCCTTGACAGCATGCACAAGAGTAAAATCTGAAACATTATTACTTTTATATTCATCTTATTTAAATGGAGCTGATTGCTGCCCAGAGAGTGCTACACAGCACTAATAGGAAACACGAGCTATACTTATGGTAGGGACACGTATTGACATGCTGTGTTGTCAGGCTGTTTTGTACCTTTCAGCTCCCAGTGGAAGACTTGTGTCTTCAGAAAAGAGAAGGTCACATCCACAAAACAGCAACCATGTGTGCAAGATTTTATTTCCTTACAATGCTGTCTGTCAGCTCAACCCCAGTCAGGCTGTTCCCCCATTGGATATTCTTCCCATAGAGCTTGCTGATTCTGAGGCAACAGTCTGCTCCTTGTAGAAGTAATCATAAAAGGTACTTTCAAGATGAAGGGTTGGACTTTCTCAATTATTTTGTACTCAAAACCACTGTAGCTCTGGATTCCGAAGCATGAGCATAGGCACTGAATATTCATATGGGACTAATTATCACTGAGGTTTAAGGAACTTGATATTTTTAAGATAATTGAGTTTATAAAAGCCCATGCCAGATCTCCAACATTTACAGTGTACCAAGCACCTAAACCACCTCCCAAGTCATCTCATGGACAGGCCAGGAAAAAAAAAGAAAAAAAAAAATTACACTCTGGACTAATATTTATGTCTCAAAGGTGGCAAAAGCAAGTGGCATTACCTCTCAAACACATAATAGTGTAGAACCTTTTAAGGCAAAAGCGCAAAATCTTTTCCCTATCCATAAAAATGATTCATCCTTTGACTACAAACACAGCCTTCACACTGTGCGTTGGGTGAAGTCAGAGAGCTGAATGTGTTCAACATTATTCAGCTGTTTCCCTCCCAACAGTCACTCCATAGGGAGTCACAGTTTTTGATCTTTCCGTGTTTGATAGATGTTCTCCTCTCCCTTTACAGATGCTAAGTGCTTTACGTCTGAAGCAGCTTCCCAAAGCCTTCAGGAAGGATAGGCAGGAAATTCCACAGATGCAAGGCAGACAATTTCTCTCTTCCTTCATCAGCTACAGCACCGTTGTTCCAGGCAGTGTCAGTAAATCCTCCTTTTTCAGAGCACCAGAGCTTGATATGAACAAAGGCTTTCCTCCACATTGTAAACACTGACCAATACTCAGCTTCTTGGAAGGAGAAATACAGACTCTTTTTGAAATGAAATCAGTCAAGAACTTTTTACAGCTAGAGTTTGCCATTTGACTAAAAGGGCTTCATCTGAATCTGAGGTCCAGAGCAGTAATTCCCTCATCTTCCCATGGTGATTTTAACCCAAATGCACACTGCTCCCCTTTCACCACAAGCAAGTGCACAGCTTCAGTCTCCTCTGTGCATTAATGACCATGTATCACCAATGTGTATCAGGGCAGAGACATGTCCCCAGGAGCTCCTATCGGGGGCAGGCTGTGCTTGAGCATCATTTTCCTTCCTGTACCTCTGACTCAGACACCATCTGAGTTCACCATAAAAACTACTCTGCAGCAATATGAGACCAAACTGCCTAGGAAACGTATTGTCTGATGACGTGTTCTCCATCAGAAAAATGGACAGTTCTTGGTTCAAATGTCTGCTCTGAATTCTCAATAGACAATACTTAAATCCCCCCCCCCCTTTTTTTTTTTTGGACTACTTTATATCCATAAATTGGGTTGAAAAAGCCATTGAGCAAATGAGAGAGACTTCTCATAAGGAGGTAAGACACGGGGTTTATAGGCTATATTCGTATTACAGAATCACAGAATGGCCAGGGTTGGAAGGGACCTCAAGGATCATGAATCTCCAACACCCCTGCCACATGCAGGGCCACCAACCTCCCCCTTTAATACCAGACCAGGCTGCCAGGGCCCCATCCAGTCTGGCCTTGAACACCTCCAGGGACGGGGCATCCACAACCTCTCTGGGCAGCCTGTGCCAGCACCTCACCGCTCTCTCTGTAAAGAATTTTCCCCTGACATCCAACCTAAATCTTCCCTCCTGCAACTTAAAACCATTTCCCCTTGTCCTGCTGTTATCAACCCTTTCAAAGTTGATTCCCCTTCTGTTTCTAGGCTCCCTTTAGGTATTGAAAGGCTGCAATGAGGTCACCCCACAAACTTCTTTTCTCCAGCCTGAACGAGCCCAGCTCCCTCAGCCTGTCTTCGCTGGGGAGGTGCTCCAGTCCTCTGATCATCTTTGTGGCTCTCCTCTGGATCCTCTCCAACAGCTCCCTGTCTTTCTTGTACTGGGGGCTCCAGACCTGGATGCAGTGCTCCAGATGGGACCTCACAAGAGCAGAGTAGAGGGGGACAATCACCTCCCTGTCCCTGCTGGCCACCCCTCTTCTGATGGAGCCCAGGATACCATTTGCTTTCCGAGCCGCAAGGTCACAACTGCTGGCTCATGTTGTTTTTCATCCATCAGGACCCGCAGGTCCTTCTCTGCAGGGCTGCTCTCAAGGACCGCTCCTTCCAGCCTGTATGGATGCCTGGGATTCCTCCGGCCCAAGTGCAAAACTCAGCACTTTGCCATATTGAACCCCATCAGGTTCACCTGGGCCCACGTTTCTAGCCTGTGGAGGTCCCTCTGAATGGTATCCCTTCCTTCTACTGTGTCAACCACACCACTCATCTTGGTGTCGTCAGCAAACTTGCTGAGGGTGCACTCAATTCCATCATCGATGTCATTGATAAAGATGTTAAAGAGCACCAGTCCCAAGACAGACCTCTGGGGGACGCCACTTGATACAGCCTCCACCTGGACATAGAACCATTGATGACCACCTTCTGTCTGCGGCCCTTCAACCATTTTCTTACCTATCCAGTGGTCCACCTATCAAATCCACATACCTCCAATTTGGAGATAAGGATGTGATGGGGGACCATGTCAAAGGCCATGCTCAATCCAGGTAAATGACATCAGTCGCCTTTCCCTTGTCCACCAATGCTGTCACTCCATCATAGAAGGCCACCAGGTTGGTCAAGCATGACCTCCCCCTGGTGAAGTCTCAGATCATATGCCCATTCCTCATGTGATCAAGCACGTAATCCAGGAGGATCTGTTCCATGATCTTCCCAGGCACAGAGGTGAGACTCACCGGCCTGTAGTTCCCGGGGTCCTCCTTGCTCCCTTTCTTGTAAATGGGAGTGATGTGACCCTTCCTCCAGTCATCCAGGACCTCACCTGACAGCCACGACATTTCAAATATGATGGAGAGTGGCTCGGCAACCTCAGCCAGCTCCTTCAGAACCTGGGATGCATGCCATCCAGCCCCATAGAATTATACATATTCAGTCTCATGAGGTGATCTCAGACCTGCTCTGTCCTCACAGTGGGGGGGGGATTTACCACCCCAGTCACCACCTAGAGGTTTGAGGGTGCGGGGGCTCAGGGACGTGAGAAGTACTAGAATATAAATAGATATTTATAAATATATATATTATATACATATAAAATATAAATAATATATATATATATATTTAAAAATTAAAAACTACTTTAAAAATTAACTACGCTCTGATTTGTCCCTGGCACTGATGCAGGCAGAAAACAGCCCACATCCTTACCATTACCCCTCAGCTCAGGGTGACTGCACGCAGTCTGCCCACTGCAGCAGCCTGTACCAGCTCCTGAATCACACTAGAAAACCACGCTGGTTTAGCAGGGCCATGGGCAGGCCAGGTACTGCTGGAACAATTCAGCAGGACAGATGATGGAGTTACAGCATCCAGGTAACATTCTCCGATGCTACTTAATTAATGAATATAAATGCATTTTGGGATTCAAACTTTGGAACAAATTAATGTTTAAATACAAATATCAAGTAAAGGAATACCAGCTGAAAAAAACTCCTTTTCCTGTCCTGTCTGCCCCCAAAATGCCAAGTAGAGAGAAGCTTAGAGAACTGTTTGAGAGGTACAGCCTCTGATTTAAGGCAGAAGAGGAAACTCAGCTGAAAACATTCAGCATATGCAATGCACTTTTATGCACTGTTCTTGGATAATCCAACCACCATTTTCAGTGAAACATTTCCAGCTCTTTTTACAGGCATATCAGACACCGTGATGTGCTCTACCTGCTTTGTTGGAAGACACTACAAGCTGCCTTCAAGCAAAGATCTGATCTACAGACAGCATTAAAGCTGGTTTGTAATAGCTATCCTTTTAACAGAGTAAACAAAGGACTCACAAGAATGAGTGAAACATCCAGAGACCACAAAGCAGATAACTCCCAACTTCGCTGCCTTTACCACCAAGTCTGAGGAAATAAGCTATTTGGCTATTTTGCTTTTTTTTTTTTTTTTGCCCCAGATCCACATAGATAGACAAGGTGAGGACTTGATTGCAAACTTGGTTGGAGAGCTGAAAGCACAGGGCAGCCCAGCAGACAGAAGAAATAGTGATGTGAAGTGGAGGTAAGGAGTCTGCTGCTGTCAAGGCTGGCTGGGATTATCAGTCTGAGAACTGCAAGCAAAGCCATGGCTGCTGCTGTACAAGTAGTATCTTTAAATGGAACTCATAATCTTAGAAAATAAGTAAGATCATACTAAATTTTCATGTAGTAATTTCAATAATCTGCCCTGGGAACAGGAAGCATGGCTCCCAAACTATTAGCTGTATATGCAGTAGGCACAACAGGTGAAGGATCCAGCTTTGACAGCAATGACCTGGCATGGGTTGTTTGCTTTTTATTTCTAGCATCTGTCATTTTGTGGCTTTACTGAGTCATCCTGTCAAACTGTTCTGTTCCACACTGATGATTTTTATTGTGATATGAAAGCTACATCAGAAAGATAAGGGGTCAAGAGCTCTTATGAATTATATTGACTTCCTATAGGGGAAGGATTAAGTCTTATCTGCTTTTTCAGGAGTAACAGT